AGAAGGAAGAGAGGTCCGAGGAAGAACAAGCGAGGCTGTTCTTCGAGTAGTGGAGGAGGTGTGGGTTTGGTAGAGCGTTTGGCTGAGTGCCTCAAGCTCCTGGAGAAGGTGGGTATTGGAATCCCTTGTTTCCGGCGTGTCGTGATGAGTGGCCATTGATGAGGTTGGAGCCAAAAGTGCAGGAGGAGGAGGAAGAAGAGAAGCAGATAAGAGAAAAAGCGGGGAGCATGAAGAAAGTTGAGAGAGTAAGAGGTGGAGATATTGGGAGATACGATAGGCGAGAGAAAGCGGCGGGTGGAGCATGGAGAGCCAGGCAAAATTTTCTGGGCACAGAAGCTTGAGAGACACAGAAACGGACAGGCACCGCACACGGCTTCTTCTTCCATCTTCGGGTCCCTTCTGCATNCAATGCCCACTCTCTTCTCGCTCATGCCTCAATCATTGCTAATCTTCAAACTTCAACTGCCACTTTAATTTTTACCAATATTATCTCTGATCACAATTAAATAACAACTAACCGTGGTCGTAAAATAATTAATGCTATAACTAATTACAATAATTTTAACACTATTCCATCATAATACGTATACTTATTTTATTATTAATTTTTTTTTTTTTTTTTTTGACAAATTTTAGGTTTTGAAATGGGGTTAGAATTAGAATTATATGATTGAAGATGTAAAATTATGAGTGGGATGAGACGGGGGGGAGAGAGCGGGTCAAGTGGTTAAAAAGAAAGGAGTTAAAAAAAGAGCTGAATTTTTGGAAAGAATTGGACGTAATTGGTATGAGAGGGTGCATAAGTAGTAAAGGGTGAAAGAGAAGGAGAAAGAGAGAGAGAGCGAAGAAAATGTGGAAGAAGGAAGAGCATGAGCCGCCGCAGCAGCAAATGAGGCGGGAAACCGAAGAAGAGAAGGGTTCTGTGGAAGAACTGCTGCCCCTGGAGAGCAGTCCGTACGTGAAATACAAGGACTTGGAAGACTACAAAAACAAGGGGTATGGGGTGGAGGGGCATATTGAGCCCAAGCCCATTCAGGGCGGCGGCACCGATGCCCCCACCTTGTCCGGCAGCGGCTTCCCAGAGGTGGCTCCAGCCTCCATTGACGCCGTCACCAGACAAGGCCTCATCCACTGATATATGGGACTCTATTTTTTTAACAACATATCCAATGTGTTGAATTCTTTTTCTTTTTCTTTTTTTTTTTAATCACAATTCTGAATTAATTTGAGTAACAAAGTTGTCTATTTCTCTCCTTATAAACTCATAACTCACATTTACGACATATTCACAGTACCAAGTTTTCTTGCCGTGCATAAAATCACATGCACACAAATGGGTGAGATACCTAGTCAAAGGGCTAAACATGAATTACCGGTCATAGTTCAATTCACTATTATTTGGTATATTATTAATATATATATCAACCAACTAAAACTAAAAATAGTAAACCGAGGATATTTTAATATTAATAACAAAAAAAAAATATATATATATATATATATATACCATATAATCCATATATGATTTGTGTAACATATAGACATATTAATAAGCTATAATAATAAATATAGAAATGTTCTGTCAACAATAGAAAACTATCATACACATATTATTGGTCTATTAACAATACACACAAATATAAACCTGAAAGTTATCTATTGATGATACACTTTACCCATAAATGAAATAAAATGGTCTACAAATGAGCATAAAATTATTTATCAAATTATCATTAATTGACATTTACCAATAAATAAAATAAAAATAGTCTAAAATGGTACAATATGATAGAGCCTTATCACTTTGATATCACGATAGGTTACCAGTGAAAAATGAGAAAAAGAATTGTGAAAGTTTTGAAAATTGGAGTGTGAATGGGCCTACTAGCATTTTCCAGCTTAGAATGCAGGCCTGTAATCAGGGCCCAAATTGTTGTGTGAATGGGCCTACTAGCATTTTCCAGCTTAGAATGCAGGCCTGTAATCAGGGCCCAAATTGTTGTGTGAATGGGCCTACTAGCATTTTCCAGCTTAGAATGCAGGCCTGTAATCAGGGCCCAAATTGTTGTGTGAATGGGCCTACTAGCATTTTCCAGCTTAGAATGCAGGCCTGTAATCAGGGCCCAAATTGTTGTGTGAATGGGCCTACTAGCATTTTCCAGCTTAAACTGCAGGCCCAAAGTTGAGTGTGAATGGGCCTACTAGCATTTTCCAGCTTCACATGCAGGCCCGTATAAAGGCCCATTTTTTGAGCGGAATAGGCGTATATAGCGTAAATGGACCGACTTCGCTCTGGACTTGTAGATCTCTTCGTGTTGAAGATCCTTTCGGTGAAATCTGCAGAAAAATGACGTTGATGAAAGGAGAGCCGCTGGTGAGGAAGCTCGCCGTGTTCGCCAAGTACGTTGTTCTTCCGGGAGCCATGGCCGCAGCTCTCGTTTACTCTCCTCCAGATTATGCTTACTTCAAGAATGACGATAAGTCTTCCAAATAGGATTCTTTCCCATTCTTTCACCTATCGGTTCGTCTCGATCTGCCTTCTCTTAGGGCTAGCGTTTTATAATTTTCCTCGTTATGCTGTTCTCTTTCTAAAATTTTGATAGATGATTTGGTCTGATTGTGGGATGTTTTACGTGAACGAACGTGTTATCTGCTATTGAGGAAATGCTCGATGTGTTTGCAATTAGAATTGATGCTTTGTGCATCTGATAATCATCGATAAAAAAATTGATAATGTTTTAATTGATGAATATGTATTCGAGAGTTTGCTTAAGACGTATTTGAACTTTCACTACATTTATTATCCTGCCTCGCATAACTTCGACACGAATCATAACTTGATAATTCTTTTCTTTTTTTAATTTGAATTTGAATTTGAGTAGGCAGAATAAACTAAGTTTGAACTTGATGAAATATGTAGGCTCTATTAGATCCAACGTACAAGGTGTTCATCTTTTTATAGGATCACCATAATTGATTGTGTCGTCATCTAGATTACCAGTCATTTAATGGGCGTATTAGTAGTTGATCTCCCTAGTTTCCTCATTCATTTGCCTCTTGAACGTAAGGTTGCTTATTTTCGATAATAACCCCCCGGCACACTCAGGAAAAGAAAGAGCCTTTGCTGCTTGATAATTCCTTGATTCCTCTTTTCTTGACGTATGGGTTTCAAACTATCACTTAAATTTGCTGAACATGTTTGAGAATCACGTTCATTGCTATGTAAGCATTAGAAGCTTTTGTCTGGTTTATTTTCTTCCATTTGATAAAATTGGAATTGGAATTGATTTTCTGTTTTCTTGTGGTACAGGACCGTCTGATCATGTAGGCTTGCATTGGCAGATTTGTGTTCCTCTTTTGTTGATAATGGTGTGTAATGGACTTACTGTCATTATGTCTCAATAATTAGTCATTTGTTTTACTTTTGGGGCTTGGTCTTCGGAGAAAGAACAATGAATTGTTTCCTTGAGGAATACTCAAAATGGGAAGTATATGTTTCCTTTGCTTATTTTTCCCCCTCTTCTTGCCCTTGATAAATTTGAAGAAATTTTGTGGGCTATATGTCCATGGAAATGGTGACTGAACCATGAGACTGAAGTGGACATTGAATGGGATACATACATACCTGCAAAATCTCATGCTTGTATGAAAATGGTACAGTTGTAAAATGTTGGAAATGTGGATATCCCATGATCACACCAACATATATATTCATTCACGCAGAATGTATATTTACCAACCCTTTGGTCCTGTCCAGTGTTAATTTGAAATCAGTTTTTCGACCTTTACTGGATCCCAGGGCAAATCTCACCTTCCACCAGTGTTATCAAGTGATTTTTAAGTCAAATTACCACTGTTGTTTTGTGTTTGATTTTTCCCTCGGATCGTATACTTTAGTTAAAAGTTTCAAGATGTTTTTGTTGGGACTGCCATCAATTCTCTTCATGCCCCTCTGCTTAGCATCGATATTTCATAGCATTCCTTTGGAAGAGTAGTAATTTGAAGATTTACTCATATTTTAAGCAGTGCAGATGACATTAGCTCTGTCGCCCAATCTTTGGTGCGACCTTAAGTAGAAGGAAGCTCGAAATGAGAACGACAGGTTCAGGTAAGGGGGGGAGTGGTTTATGTAATTAAGTCTTTGCTGACTCCAGCAGAGGAAGGATATAACTGAATTGGGCCGCTGCATGAATTTGGGGCCTTAGCCTGTGTTTTGGAAATATATTTAAACAGAAATATTGGAAGGAATTTGTGTGCAATGATTGAGGGGAGGGGAGGGGAGGGGTGGGATGGCATGGCAACCATAGGATAATGGGACTACACTACACTACACTGCAAACTGTGTCAGGTATTCTTGTGGCCGAATAACTCTGTTTTTTATGAATGGGTTGGAGACAAAACAACAAAGGATTTGGGGTCCTTTGGTTCACAGTTGATTCAAGATTTTAGAATCCAAACCTGATTTTGATGGCCCCATGCCGTACTCGTTTTATTTTGTCATTATTCCTGCTGCGGAGTAGATATGTCTGTTCTCTGATATATACTAATAATTCTTAGGGGCTACTTTTCTGTGCCACTCGCGTGATTCAGATTCATCACAGCTTTATTTTCTTTACTAAATGATGCTCTTTAAATTTATTCCCACCACCTATTGCTCCTGTTCATTGCTATTATTGAGATGAGGAGGCTGAGGGCTGGCCTAGGGCAGAAGAAGCCCCTCCTTGGTCCTAAGCCAACCCACCCACAGCCCACAGCCCACAGCAAGAGCATGCATGCAACCACCACAGTACCATTGCCACCCTCTTCAAACTTCAAATACCTAGTAAATTGCAGGTGACGTCAAAATATACTTAGAAGGAACCTTGCAATCCCATCAATGTTGTCAAGTCAAGCTGAACCTGCCCTCACCTAACTCTCGATCTTTACTAGAGCGCCCATTTATGTTTATATTCCCAATCCCAGCATAATTGGGAATACTTCTATAAATACAAGACGCGTCTTAAGGCTTACGTAGAGAGGTGGATAATGGGTTTTAGAGAAGGGAAAGCATGGATTTTAAAGAGATATTTGGTACATGCAGACACGCAGATTGGACGCTACGCTACAGACGCATACTAGTTTACAACCACGTACTCGAGTACTAAAAAAGTAAGCGAAAAGTTAAAAAATACGAAAAAAGATGTTAAGCATCTAAAGGCCAAGATTCTCCATGGGCATGGACGACGTTGATGTGAGGATCTAACATTGTCTGATAGGCGGCCTTGGTGAAGGCGATTGAAGTTGATATGTCATGAACAGACACCTCAGCAGCCGCGGCTAGTGGTGAACTGCATTCCATTTCAAAAGACAAGGGATGTTGATGGTAAGAGGGGGGGTTTGGCTGCATCTTCATCATATCCATGAAGTCTGAGTTGGCCTCAGCGGGCTCGAAATGGGTTGTAAAGCTGGCCTCCGCTTTGAACTGTTTAAAGACATCACACTGTTGTTGCTGCTGCTGCTGCTTTAGTAGTGCTGTGGAATCTTGATGTGAGAGGAGAGAGTTGAAGAGAATCGATGGCAGCAGTGATGATGATGATGATGATGCGGACGGAGTATACGTGTTGTTGCTGTTGGCATTAGCAATGGGGTTTATGTTATTGCTGGTTATGGAGATGGTGTTGAATGGGGTAGGGGGTGGTGGTTTGTGTGAATAAGGGGGCTGCTCGTTCGAGGAAAGTAGGTTGGATTGGGACACGACTGAGCTTACGAAGCTCTTCAGGTCGTTTTCAGGAGGCTGATGAATCTGAAAAGGGTTTTGGAAAGCCTGCATTGCGGCTTGAGATTGACACTCTATTAGTGTTGTTGGAGTCGTCTCGAGCAACGGAGGCAAGGAGTTGGAAGTAGTGGACGATGATAAAGCAGCAGCAGCAGACTCCAGGAGATAAGCGTGACACGGGAACATTGGATTTTTCTTCTCCCCATTCTTGTGAAATATTCTGCAAATAACCCATTCTTCCTGCAACCGACACAAAAAAAAAAAAAAATAATAAATAAAAAATAAATAATCAAAAGAAGAATGAAAAGAAAAGTAAGGGCTACAGCACGTTGCGCCATTACAAGAGATAAAACTCAGCAGTAGTTAAATCAATCGCATCACATCAAAACTTACCCCCAAAGTAAATAATAGAAGAAGAACAGTGTAGCATTGGAACGAGGTAGTACTTTTATGGAATATATAAAATAAGTCAACCCGGAAGAGGACAAAAGAATAGGGTTAAGCATTGCAGGTTAATATAGCTTGATTTGCACGGTGCGAGAATGCACGTGCGGTGGCGGGGGAGAGTTCATTATTGGCATTACCTTGCAGGCATGGCGGTAAGAGAAATCGCCGTCTAAGCGGTACTCATGCATGACCCACTTGGTTTTCTCTCCACGCGGGGCTCTGCCTCTGTAGAACACCAGCGTCTTCTTCATCCCAAGTAGGGATCCATTGGATGCACTGTAAACTTCCCTGTCTTTTCCGGTGGCTTTCCAGTAACCAGCTCCGGTGGCCCTATTTGTTCTTAGCCCTGTTGGGTACTTCCGGTCACGCAAACTGTAGAAGTACCATTCTCTCTCGCCCATCTTTGCAACATCTGAAACGATCAACACACACAACAATGCATATTACTAAACTACCCCTTCTCTCTCCATCTCTTAGCAGTAGTTTGTGGGCAGTTGAGATAGTTTTACAGGGAGAGAGATTTTGTAGCGTTGTTAAATGGAAAAATAATCGTAGCTGCAACCCCACTGATGCATTAGATTGAAGTTGACATGAACCTACCTCTAGCGTTATGGCCACAAGAAAGATGCAACTTATGAACTTGAAAAGGGTGTGTTGCTTTTATCCCCTTTAACTTCAACTCCTCAGTTTGGACGTCACAAAAGTGATGATTAATAGGAAAAAAAAAAAACAAAACAAAAAAAAACAAAACAAAATCCACATTTTCTGTTCCTATCTTAGAGAAGAAATGGGAAGCAACGGCATTCCGTAAATCTACGATCACAGCAACAAAAAAAGTATGATATAGAGATGGAAGAAGGAAGATTTTGACACTAATTTTTAAAAACTGACGGTGAATGTTTGAAGTTACTTAATAATTAATGCTGCTGCTGCTGCTGCATGGGTGACTAAGGTGAGGAGAACCATAAACATAAGTGTAGTACGTACCTGGAAGCTCCCATGGTTCACATCGATTGAGGTCTACCTCAGCAATCTCCACCCCGCAGAAGCTGCCTTTGAAAACCTTTGAAGCCAAGTAAAATGTGATAAGTTCCTCATCAGTAGGGTGGAACCGAAACCCTGGGGGCAATCCCTGCTCGTTTAACTCTTCGCCATTTAGCTCGGATAAGATTTGCTCCATTGCCATCATGGTTGTCCGCAGATGTCCAGAGAGAGAGAGAGAGAGAGAGAGAGAGAGAGAGAGAGAGAGAGAGAGAGAGAGAGAGAGAGAGAGAGAGAGAAAGAGAGAGTTGAGGGAAAGAGACTGGGAGGAGAGAGTGATTATTATGAAGGAAGGGTAAATTATATAGGTATGATTATAAAGCGCTGAAACCAAAGTAAAGTGAAAGAAAAATATGAGGAGATGAGGATTTGAGATTCTTAAAACGCTTTCATGGGGGCCTACAGAAACGCACCTGAAAAAGGCCTTCCCTTCCCGGACTAGGTCGCCAACAAAATCATATTTTTATTAATATGTTTTTTTTTTTTTTTTTTTTTTTTTTTTTTTTTTTTTTTTTTTTTGTTNGGGGGCGGTTCGCTTGGAGAATGTTAAATGCAAAACTTGGGGTGATACAGGGATTCATGCGTGCGTATGTTTTGTTTGTTTTGAGTGTCAAAGTGAGATAATCTACATGAGGGAAAGGGAGACAAATAGTGAGATCATCCCACTAATTCTTTCCCGTGCCTTCCAAAAGTTAGTAGTCTATGGATTCATATGCTACATTATTGTGAATAATGCAAGCAGACCCCATTGGACAATAAAACTATCAACAGTGAAAAATGAGGGCATGGAAGGAAGGAAGGAAGGAAGGAAGGAAGGAAGGAAGAGAAGGGAGAGCCGAATGGAATAGAACTTACTAACTTAGGGTGGGGCTCTTGATTGTAATAAATGATTTGAATGCTTTGGTGGGCTGTATATGCAATGAAATCAGTCGGCGTTGCACGTGTACGTATCATCACCAAATAATAATAATAATAATAATAATAATAATAATAACAACAACAACAACAATTTATTTAATGAACACAAGAATAGTTATAACCACTGAGTGAAGTAAAAGATAATACAACTGCAACGCCAAAGATCTACTGATGCACTGTAATAGCCAAATAGGTAGGTTTACATAAGCCTATCTGGGCACCCTCTGCCCTCCTCTCGTTTTCTTTAAATTACTTTGAGCTGGAATGGGAACTCTTCACTGTTCCTCACCCACACGTAAGCCAAACCACACCTCTTCTGCTTGGCGTTTTAAGGATTTTTTTTTTTTCCCTAATCAATGGTCTTCGTGAGACGAATAGGAAAAGGAGACGTTGATGTGTGGCATTGTCAAACAAAAACTGTGGTCGAAAAAGTCAGTGCGGGGGCCATGAGAATTTAAGACATTGCACACTCCCATTCAATGCAAGGGCTGCTGCTTATTAATGTGTTCACAAAGATAATATCATTCTTATTATCTTTTTCTTTTTTGTAACTGGAAGAGGAATGAATGCATGCAATTACACCCACGCACGTGCCAAGGAAGGCTTGTTTTTTGTTATATTGGGAGGATGCAAATGAAAAGACAAGTCAATGTGTATAAAGGCAACAGGTTGCGTGGGACCTCAAATTCGTCGATTTCTCGTGTTTGATTCAAAACCGAGTGTAAAAAGGTAATATATATATACATACACACACACAAACAAGGCGAAGGAGTAACCACTAAGTACTAGTAAAGAGCAAGGAGGAGGTTGGGTGGCTCGACGAGTGGAGCTGCAAGGCAACGAAGCAGAAGAAAAGTGAAACTTTTGGATAATACAGGGACCACTCAGCAATAATCTCATAAGGAATGATTGGGGTTTGTGTTCAAATGTTATACAGAAAATAATATATATATATTAGAAATTCTCAATTCTCATTAATGAATTGAAAACAGAAAACGAGAAGGCAAGGCCATTTGGCGTTCTTCGACCCATTCCGTGTTTGTTAATTAACAACACCAATGCTTACAGCTCAAAGAAGTAGGGGCAGACTAGGTAATTTGCACCATCTCTTATAAGGGGAAAAAGAAAGAAAAGGAAAGCCCGTACAAATGGGAGCAGAAGGGGGGGGGGGGGGNGGGGGGGGGGGGGGGGAGGAGGGAGGAGGGGGACCACCAGCAAGGTAAAAAGGAAACGGAAGGGGGAGGGGAGAGAGTGGAGAAATAATTGGGGAGAGAGCGGGGCGGGGCGGGGCGGGGCGGGGCGGAGCAGAGCAGAACAGAACAGAACAGAACAGAACAGATATGTGTGAGACTGAGTGAGTGATGTGTGAAAAAGAAGTGCAATTATTAAACAACAATTGTCTCTTATTTACTCATCACTTCGTCTTGCTTTGCTGTCTTCACATTCCCATTCATTTTCCAAGCTCTTCAATTCCTTTCCCGTTTACCCTTACACACTCCCACTTTCACTTCCTTACCCTTTGGGCTTTCACCCCAACGCTACAGCCCACCGCCTGTGTCCATACTGGATTCTTTTCACTCCTCTTTGTTTCTTCCGTGACATTCACATACATTATGCATTTTTACGTTACTACAACAACTGGATGTCTAATAACTTATTGTACGATTCTATACGAAAAAAATCATAACTTTTTGTCCATTTACTAAAAATTCTATCTATGTAGCTTAAAAGGTTCCATCTGGCTTAGTAAAAAAAATGTAAAAATATCTATAATCGCATCCCACAGAAAAAACTATAATATTAATCATTCATGTCGTGTTAGCTATTTTACTTGAGAGCAATAACAACAGTGCTACCAAATTTTGCGGAAAAAAATGAAGATTAGTAGTTATATATATAATAATTTCCTCAAAGAACCAGAGTAAAAAAGCCATCAATCAATTTTTGCCTATATTATGTTTGAAATAATTAAACACACAAACCCAATAAAAATCTATTGCAAAACTAAAAAATAAAATAATGCAAAATCTTCTTGGTCCTGCTCAATTCCAAATTAAAACTAAGAAATTTATCCCATCTACTAAGAATATAAATACTAAGATGAACCATAAAACATATACCTTTTAGGTCATTGTTTCCAATTCTTCATTTATAATGTATAACATCCAACATTTATAATAATAAATCAATTTACATTATATATTTTTCGAAACAAGAATACATGTGTAGTATAAAAATACTGAGGGGGGCAAATTGCACCTATAAAGCAACACAACTTAGACTCGTTGCTGAGCTCCTCCTTATAAGTGGATTGGATCTACTTAATACCTCAATAATAATTAAAAATAAATAAAAATTCTTCCTCTGGTGTGAAGTGGAACTAAGTTTTCAAGTCATTCAGGAATTACATGAATGAGAATGACAGAAAGCGTAGATTCAAAGTCAGTTAATACACACAAACCAGTCTTAAAGTCTGGGTATCAATGTTCCTATATACAAATATATATTATATCACCTTTGCTTGTAAGCAACATTTTGTAAGCTACACACAAGCACATTCATTCAACCCTCCTTGTATAAATGGTTCCCTATATCTCTTCGTTTCCATCCAACCCTTTCTTTGTCTTCCTCCAATAAAAAATATTTGCGAATTCCAAACCTAGAGAGCTAGCAATGGCTCTGCCTAAGTCACTGCTTCTAGCGCTATGCGTGTGCGTTTTTGTCGTAGCAAGTTGTGGGAAGGACTTTTCAATCGTGGGTTACTCAGCAGAAGACTTAACTTCCATGGATAAACTTATTGAGCTCTTTGAAGAATGGATATCAAAGCACGGCAAGATTTATGAGACCATCGAAGAAAAGTGGAATAGATTTGAGGTGTTCAAAGACAACTTGAAGCACATTGATGAAACAAACAAGAAAGTGAGTAGTTATTGGCTTGGACTTAATGAGTTTGCTGATTTAACCCACCAAGAGTTCCAAAAGATGTATCTTGGCCTGAAAGTTGAGTCGTCTCGAACAAGGCAATCCCCAGAAGAGTTCACCTACAAGGATATTGTAGATTTGCCCAAGTCGGTGGATTGGAGAAAGAAAGGAGCTGTGACTCGTGTCAAGAACCAAGGTTCATGTGGTAAGTAATATGTCAACTCCCATTTTGCGTTCCTATATCTAACTTTATCTAATAAAGAAGAAACCAATATTCAGCAGTAATTTGAATGGGCTTTGAAATTACATAGGTAGCTGCTGGGCATTTTCCACTGTTGCTGCAGTTGAGGGGATAAATAAGATTGTTGCTGGAAATTTGACCTCGTTATCAGAGCAGGAACTAGTTGATTGCGATAGACCTTATAACAATGGGTGCCATGGGGGCCTCATGGACTACGCATTCTCTTTTATTGTCTCTAGTGGTGGACTTCACAAGGAAGAAGACTACCCTTATCTCGAGGAAGAAAGCACTTGCGAGAACAAAAAGGTAAAACTACCCACTGAACCCCGGAGCCCATTTTTGGGCATTACATTGGACCAGATGTATAAAACCATATCCAAAAAAGCTCAGAAATGTTCAAATTTCTTCCCTGCAGGGGGAACTGGAGGTAGTGACAATCTCTGGCTATAAGGACGTACCAGAGAACAATGAAGCCAGCCTCATAAAGGCATTGGCACACCAGCCACTCAGCGTGGCCATAGAAGCTTCAGGAAGAGATTTCCAATTCTACAGCGGGGTAAGCAAAATTTGGAACTGTTATGGATATTGCTGCATCTACTATTTGGCTCTAGTGCATAATAACATTACAACTTTGTGCAGGGCATTTTCGACGGACCCTGTGGAACAGAGCTTGATCATGGAGTCGCAGCCGTTGGATATGGATCATCAAAGGGAGTGGACTACATCATTGTGAAGAACTCGTGGGGACCCAAATGGGGAGAGAAGGGATTTATAAGAATGAAGAGGAACACTGGGAAGCCTGCAGGGCTCTGTGGAATCAATAAAATGGCTTCCTATCCTACTAAAAATAAGTGAAGAAAGTAACTATGTCTTGTTTCCTACATTATATTCCAAATATATGGCTTTGACTTTTATTTCTTTGTTTTCTTCTGTCTCCCACAGAGACATATAATTCTGAAGCATATGTATTGACAATGATACTGTGAGAGAAAAACGATGAAACATGAACCTCTGTTTGATACTGTAAGGCTTAGATCATATACGATTGGTTGAATGTAAGGCTTGCCAGCAGGGAAATAATCCAATCAGCTTTAGTACTTGTGATGAAGGGAATTAGTTGAGTAACTCTAGTAAACATAGTCAGATTCGTAGTCCATTACAGTTATTCGTTCCTTGATTTGGTAGAAATATGTTAAACTCCTCCATCATTTTTAACTACTCTACACTTTGATTTCTAAGACTTTCTAAGCCATGAATATCAAAGAGATGAAGATGTTGTGAAATTGTCGAGAAATACGCAAGAACATCGCAATTTCAGGCATAGTTGTATAAGTCGTCATACGCACCTGGAACTGCAGCCACCATAAGAATCACCATCAAGTATCGAGAACCTTGCACTCCCGCGATGATAGGTCCACTTGCCGATGGGCAGCAGGGGGAAGCAGAAGGAACTGAAAAGCCGAAGACTCGAAACATTACGGCTGCGTCCACGGCAGAGTCCATCATCGTGACCGTGAGGGTGGCTTTTCTGATGGTAAGGAGTTGGTCCGTTGAATAATCGTCAAGGTGGAAGAAAAAGCGAACAGAAACGAAAAGCATCCGTGAAAAGGGCGGTCGCAGCAATTACGATGAGTTTGAAAGGGGAATAGGTGAATTTTGGGGGTATGGAAGCAGTTTGAGCGCCAAATAGACCTAATTACTGCGCTCTTAAGTCTCTTATTATTTTGATTTAATTATAACCAACTTTATTTAAAATTCTTTTAATATGTAAACTGAAGTTGGGCGACGGAGAATGAGAAGAAGTGAAAGAGTGGCGTGATAAATTAAAGCTTTGGTTGGTGCCACTAGGAGTAGTGGGAGGCTGGTGGGTAGACGGTTATGTAGCGGTCAAGGTGATTTGGATGCTATAAGTTTGAAAGGGGTGTTACACATGACCCTGTTTTGAAAAACATGGAAAAGGGATTGGAAATCCGATGAAACGTACGCGATCTTCGAGAAGAATAATGAAGATTTGGGTGTCTGAAAATTCGAGATTCACAAAGTGAAGAAGAGTGAGTGAGGGGATTTCGGTAAAAGGAACTAAAGGGAAGTTGGACTCGTCAAACCCAATCATTCTGAATGCTTCAAGATATTGAAAACAGGGGATTCTTGAATCTTGGAGTGGGAATCCCATGACACACATTACAGCTTCCTCGTATTCTGCTTCCACCTCTCTGTCTGCTCTGTTGTCTTTGGAAAAAGTAAAGACTAGATTGAATCGGGGGTCGCTCTTCCGTCTAGGCCCCACTTTTCTTCTTCCAAACCCCCTCTATTTAAGCCCCCTCTCCTCCTCCTCTGCATTTCACTCTTCCAACTTCGAACATTTCTTTCAATCCATTCGCACCTAAACGGCTTCCATGGAGGTGCCATTCAACTTCAAACTTGTTCTGTTTCTTTTTGTCTTTTTTTCTTTTTTTCTTTTTTTTCTTTTTTTAGAGGAGACTAACGTTGTTCTTCGGCTGTGGTCTCAGACAGTTGAGTTCAAAGTAGATATGGTCGGAATCCACGAGAAAAGGCTCAGGAAATGTCTGTACAAATTGAAAGGTAAGTAGTGAAAAAGAGTGGAATGTGGGTGGTTAGATTAGATGCATGATCCAGACACACAAATCTTGATGTTTGCTTTCAATCCGTGTTGGACATTTCATTTGATTCAGGTGTGGAGAAGGTGGAGGTGGATGCGAACAGCCAGAAGGTGGCGGTGACCAGCTACATTCACCGGAACAAGATACTGAAAGCGATGAGGAGAAGTGGCCTGAAAGCCGATTTCTGGTCGGCCCAAAACGAGCTTCTTAATGCATACGCCGCCACTTATGGAGCCTTCAGATTCTGCTCCTACAACACCTTCTTTTAGAACTTTACCATTTTTTTTTTTTTTTCTGGGAGGGGTATAAATATTTTCATTTAAGCTGGCATTCGACTGCCCATTGTAATTTTAAACACAAGCAACTCCAAAACAAGTCTCAGAATGGATAGCTTTTAGTATTTTTAAAATTAGATTACCAATCCTTATTAAATATTTTAAAATAAATAAATTTAGGAATCTAATAAAAAAAAATATTTGAGCAATATATATCAAGAATGGGGATTGTTTACCACCCTTTTAAGTATGAGCAATCTTGGTTGATGATTTTGATGTGAAAGCCACCTGTGATCAATATCTTTTATTTTTTATTTTTTATTTTTGTAGATAAGTAGTAGTCATGTGTTACAAAATCAAAAGAACAATTATTAAACCTGACTGCTCAGCTTTTTTTTTTCTTTTTTTTTTTAGAAAATAATAAAAATTATAATTATTAAAGCTACCACTTTTAGTTGGACACCAAAAATTTAGCGTACAACAGAAGAATCCAATTGGAATAGGGTTGGATCTATCTCTCTACTCAATTTCCCCTCCTCTTCTTTCACTTCTCTGCAACACTTTCCTTACTTCCATTTCCCATCACACGCCATGCATTTCACCGCCAACCAAGGCATCCAAGGCAACACCTTCGCCGTCACCGGCGCATTGGGCTTCGTCGGCTCTGCCCTCTGCTTAGAGCTTGTCCGTAGAGGCGCTCTCCAGGTCCGAGCCTTTGACCTCCGTCCTGCCTCTCCTTGGTCCGATGACCTCAAGATTCACGGGGTCAACATCATCCAAGGTTCATCCCTATCTGCAATTCAGACCCCCTTTTACTGTTTATTTTGCGATTCTCCTCGGCGGTGCTATTATAATCTCTCTGCCTTACACATCCACTTTGATCGTCCTGTCGCTATTTGTCTCTACTTTACTCTTTTCTGGCTTTGATTCTCTCTCTCTGTAGTAGAGTAAAATTGTGTGCGACAGTAGGCTTCTTTCGACGCTAACTCTTGCAGTCATGTAGGGGATATTACCTGTAAAAAGGACGTGGAAAGAGCTCTTCGTGGTGTTGATTGTGTTTTCCACCTAGCAGCATATGGATTATCAGGGAAAGAAATGCTTCAAGTCGGTCGCATTGATGAGGTGAATATTAATGGAACATGCCATGTCTTGGATGCTTGCCTGGAGCACGGCGTTAGACGGCTTATATATATGAGCACGTATAATGTAGTGTTTGGAGGTCAAGAGATTGTTAACGGAAATGAGGGATTACCTTATTTCCCAATTGATGATCACGTTGATGCATATAGTCGAAGTAAATCCATTGCAGAACGATTAGTTCTGAAGACCAACGGGCGCCCCTTAAAGTAAGTGAAATCACTACTTTCTACTTCCGTGGTTTTGGCTTTTCTGGTTTGTTTACTCGTATTGGATTGCGCTTACTGCAACCATTAGTCTTTACTTTCTTGCGCAAGAATGTATAATAACATTAGCTTCGCCTTTGGAGGACAGGGATGGCAAATGTTTTCACACCTGTGCTATACGTTCCTGTGCTATCTACGGACCTGGGGAAGAGAGGCATTTTCCTAGGATTGTCTCCTTAGCAAAGTTAGGCTTGCTACCATTCAGAGTTGGGAAACCAAGTGTTAAAACAGACTGGATCTATGTGGATAATCTCGTGCTTGCTTTAGTATTGGCAAGCATGGGGCTTCTGGATGATACTCCTGGTAAAGGAAGAGGCCCAATAGCTGCTGGCCAGCCGTATTATGTATCAGATGGTAACTCCACAGAATTTCTTACGTTTTACAACCCTCCCATCTACTCTTTGTAGATTGCTTTAATGTCGTGCTGTGCTGTTTCTATTCTTATCAGGTTATCCAGTTAATTCCTTTGAATTCGTTCAACCACTGCTCAATAGCTTAGGTTATGAGTGGCCAAAGTTTTACATGCCTGTTTCTAAAGCTCTTCTCTTGGGGAAGTTTTTTGCTGCGTTGTACACAATATTATATCCTTGGTTGAATAGATGGTGGCTTCCACATCCCTTGATGCTTCCCGCTGAGATTTACAAGGTTTGTTTATTTTGTTTTATTCTTTTATGCTTGTGTCTGCTAACATGCAAATGGCCCTACTGAATGTTTGGACATCGACTTGCAACCAAGAATTCTCTCCTTGACCATCCCAATAATGCTCCTTCGTAGTGTGAAGAATGATTCCATGCTGAGTTAATACAACAGTTCTTAATCAATTCCTCTGAATCCTAATTAGTTGTTTGCCTATATCGCCACAGGTTGGCATCAGCAATTATTTCTCGCATCTTAAAGCCAAGGAGGAGTTGGGCTATATTCCAATGGTGAGTTCGAAGGAGGGCATGGCTGCGACCATCTCATATTGGCAGGAGAGGAAGAGGAAGAGCCTCGATGGGCCAACAATATATGCGTGGCTGTTTTCTGTTGTTGGAATGAGCATGCTGTTTAGTGCAGCTTTCCTTCCAGACGTTGGACCTGTTCCATTCTTCAAAGCTATCAGCCTTTTGTTCTTTAGGTCGATTCAAGTGGTGAGGATGGTGTTTCTTGTAGCCTTTCTACTGCACGTTGGTGAGAGCATATATGCATGGTTCTTAGCAAGAAAGGTCGATCCTGCTAACTCCAGGGGATGGTTTTGGCAAACTTTTGCTCTAGGCTACTTTTCCTTGCGTTTCTTGTTGAGAAGAGCAAGGAGTCAATAGGGGAACTCGCGTTACTTCTAACCATTGTAAGATAAAACTTGAGAAAATGTAAAGGAGAATTTGAGAGAAGAAATATAGCCTGTTGTTGTGATAATCTTGAGTTTATAGCATCGATGCTACAACGGCTGTAATTTCAATAAATTCATTATTTGTAATTCTAAAACAAAACAACACAACTATTTCACAATCTTCTAATTCCTAACCGATACTAAGGGCAAGGATCCATCCAAGCCAACCCAATCTGGAAAGAGTTACATCATCCTTTTAAGGCTTAGCTAGAACTACGGGTGCATCTAAAGCAAATTAGAAAATAGAGCACCAAACTAAACTCCCGGCTGGCTGGCCCGCCCTATTAGCAAATCAAGTGAGTTAACGAAGCAGCTCCAGTTTCACTTCCAAGATGCGGTGTTATTGCAGGCTCCACCACTCTGATTAAACGGACTCCCTTGCCCTCCTGAGGATTCACTGAGAGCCCCACGTGATTGCGGACTGCTCGCCCCTGTCATTCCAGCACGGATCGGAGCGAGTTTATGTGGTGCAGTAACAGGCCGCTGTTCTATTTGGTTTGCTTGTTTCAACTCCTTCTGCCCCCCATCGTTCACAAAGCTCCCCACCACCACCTATTAATCCGATGGTAACCCGATAACAACCAATGCATAATCAATAACAACATCACTAAACGAGAGCAGTGCCGATGTGAAAAATGAAAAACGTTCTAAAAACAATGAACAGTATTGTGATAGAGAAGTACGAACACTGTCGTGGGATAAGCTAATGTACCTGAACGGGAGAGGCTGCCGTTAGAAGACCAGCCACCCCACCACCCAAAACTCTACCATCTGGTCCAGACAATGAAACACTTAAATCCCCAGTTCGGCTACGCTGACCACCATTCTCGGTGAGAAGATATAACCCAGATAGTGACAAAATCTCAAATCGCCCCTGCACAACAAATAATGCTTCATCATCACTCAATTCATGAACATGTTTGAATTGTGCTTCTAACGCCCCGCTGAACCATTTTACTCCAAATAAATTGATTTGGCGAACCACTGAGAGGCAGACTAAAATATGAGAAAAGCAATTAGCCTTATGGAAATTAGTTTTCTTTCCATCCCTTTCCAAATCCATTGGATAAAATCTTTTTTATGTTCTCTTACTTCACCATAGTTCGTTTAATAACAGTGATAAATGAACCCGGGTTCAATAAACCTACCCACATTCCAGCGAAACTATTAATCCCATAGAAACCAAGAACAAGGTCTGTTTAACAATCAATTCTCTCAAATAGCTATTAATTTGGGGACTAACTTCTTCAATGACTATAAATTGTTATCCGCACAAGAAAATGTTAAGTATTCAAAATGGAAGCCGTACTAAATCACAACTTCAGTTGAAAAGAACCAGATGAACGAACCTCATAAGTCACGGTTCCACCAGACATGGCTGGTTGACGTAGAGTCACGTTGGATATAGCTCCATTTGCTGAAAGAATACAAACAGCTCTAGGACCATTCTGTGAGATTGACATTATTTTTGAAGACACGTCCTGGAAAACATAACAAAAATTCAGATTGCAGTCCTAACTAAAATATGAAATCGAGTATAACTGCACATTAATCAAAACATCGCAATGGTTATTCAAATTAACATTGATTGCACCTGATTACCTTCCATGATGGACATACAACGTGAAGTTTTCATAATAAGACGTCCAAACATTAACGTGATGTACTCATTCAATTAGGTGGACAAAGAAAACAAGGTTGAAATAGCAATGAAAGAAAAATAAAACAGGCAAAAACATGAACCTCTCCAGCTTTCACGGTGATGACATGTGGGGTAAATCCAACTCCGGCTGATCCTACAATTACAATCATACATTATTTTAAGCTGTAGCCTGTAATGGCATTATCAAAGTTGAAATTAAGCCTGAAGAATCAAGACTCTAAAATTGACATGCCTGTGAAGGCAAGACTCAGTGGCAGAAGGTACTTAAAAAAAGAAAGAAGCCATGGCAGTAATGGGGAGGGGCAGAGAGCAATGATTTTAGATATGAAGGAAGCAGAATCAGCTAATTGCCTCTTCTAGTTTATCGAGAACCACCGACAGTTGCACTTGTATATTCTTTTTATAACATTGGAAAATTAAATATAGACGAACAGGTCAAAAGTGCTTAACCGGTTAGCCCACTTGTAAGTTTAAAATTAACTAAGCTGAATAATTATATCATTAAAAAATCTTGTGACCAAAACAAATGCCCAGGAAACCAAAAGGACGTGGAATATGTAGAGTTACCCAAGGCATCCAGCTGCTGCTTTTTGCCAGAGCCAGGGGGTCTGCCTCTGGCTTTCTTCAAAGTTGGAGAGGCTGATCCTCCCGACGGAGTCACGCCAGTGGGTGGAGGAGAGAAACCTCCACCGGACTGAGTTGCAGCGGCGGAGGGGTCTGCAGAGGCCACTGCCATACTGCCATCTGGCCCATACTTCCTAGGCCTCCCTCTCTTCCTCTTGACAGGCTCGCTTTGCGTATTCATGCCAACGAAAGCTTCACGAGGAGAAACATCGGCACCGGCATTACCGGAAACACCGACGCCGGGGGACTGGTAGGTGGGCGAGACGGAGGAGGCGGGCTTGTAGACGCCGTCGGCGCCGAAGGGCAAATGCAAGCCAGGCAAGACCGACTGTTGTGACTGTACTGGACTCTTCTGGAAACCGATGGTGAAGGGTTCGCCGCTGGTCATCACTCCGGTCTCAGATCCCGTCATTCTTCTCCAGCGCTGGAATCAAAATTCCATACAGGGAAGTCCCAGTCCCTGACCAAACAAACAAACAAACAAACATAATCCATCTTCAAAAAAAAAAAAAAAGAAAAAAGAAAAGAAGCACAAATTGCAGGGTGCAACACTCGGAGAAGTTCGGNCAACCATTCACAAGATTTTACAGCTTCAACAAATTCTAAAAAAAAAAAACAAAAAAAAAAAAAAAACAATAATTGTTTTGACTCCACTCGGTAACTCAGTGTCGGGGAAATAATTATTTAGTGGGGGAAATGTGAATTTTCCAAAAAAGAAAAGAAAAGAAAAGAAAAAGAAAAGAGAATTTAGAAATAGGGATTAAAATCCAGAAGCGCCTCATTATATAATACTGAAAATGCCTAAAGCCACCAACCCGACCTTAAAACTCGGAACAGAATCAGTAAAAGTGGAAGAAAAACAAACCCTAATAGCGTCAAAACTTGCACAAAATTATAGTTTTCAACCACAGATCTTAACAGTCGCCACTGAGGAAGAAGAAAACCCACATGATTCAGTAAGAAATTATTTTCTATAAAAAATTGAATTTCACAGTAAAAGATTCTCCGAAAATACAAAAATGACTAAAAATATGAGAAGAAGATGGGAAAAAAATTAGAAAAATCCAATAAACTTACCAATAATACACGAAAAATAGCAGAGACGAAAAACAACAAGGGGAAAGAAATTGGAAGGCTTCGGAACGAAAAGCAACTCAGCCCCAAGGGTTTTTTTTTTTCTTTTTTTCTTGGAGAAATGCAGGAATTCTGAATATTTGGTGATAATTTATTATTGTTTTAATTATTAATAATATTTTGACGAGAAATCCGTGGATGTGTAAAAAGAAACCGATGGGTAATTTTGGTATTTAAAAATAATATCATTAATTATATTGCTTTACGGCTTTGGATACTCACTTCCTCAATAATAGACCGCTGTCTAATTATTCTAAATTATGCCCTCCTATCTTTTTTTCACCGTCTTTCAAATAATAATAATAATAATAAATGCTGACATTTATTTAGATTTAGTCATATTTACGACTGCTTTTTTTTTTTTTTTTATTCGTTTATATATTTACTGTAGTTTAAATTTAGAAATTATTATACTAATTTCAATTTTTCTTTATATGATATTTAGATTTAAAATAATTTTATTATTGCATAGGCTTTAAATTTTCAACTTTTTATTATACTCGATAAAACAGCAAAATAATTTCTTATACTAATGATCAAGAAATCCTTGTAAATGGGAGTTGATGAATACTTGTAAATAATTTTTATACAAAGAACGAAAGTAATCCAAAATAAAAAATTAATTATTTTTATTTCATAACTTATAAAATCAAACCCATGGATGAATATACAAGTAATTTACTTCTTTATATGTCTAATATGAAACGTAATTTCATTTTCTTTTTTAGTGAAAAGAGTGAATTATTCACTGTACTTAAATGTAAAAATAAAAAATTGAAAAAAAAAAGGGAAAAAATTCATTAATTTGAGATTTACCATTTTTAAGGCCCTAAATTTTAATATTTTATCTAGAATGCAGGAGAAATTAAGGGAGAGGTGAGTATGATAAAAATTAATTCATAAATAGAAATTGGGCTGACGTGGAGGGACAGCGCTTATGTGAACTTTAAGAATTTGAATTTCGAAAACATATAACCGTTGGCATCTGCAAGCACAACGGTCACAAGTCCCTCCCGAAGTTTCATATATATCTGACGCTCCCATCAGACTTCCATTCATTTTCCGTGGTGAAAGGGAGAGAGTCTTTGCGAGAAAGTTCAGTTTCAGAGAGACACAGAAATGGAGAAGGGGCCGACCACTGTTTCAGCCATGGAGGCGTTCGAGAAGCTAGAGAAGGTCGGAGAAGGAACTTATGGCAAAGTTTATAGGGCAAGGGAGAAGGCCACCGGCAAGATTGTAGCGCTTAAGAAGACGCGCCTCCACGAGGACGAGGAAGGTGTTCCTCCCACTACTCTTAGAGAGGTTTCAATTCTTCGAATGCTTTCTCGGGATCCTCATATTGTTAGGTAACCCCCTTCTCACTTCTCTCTTGATCGATTCTTTTCTCCTAAAAATCGTGTTTTGGTGTGCTTCCAATTTTTAGGGTTATAATAATTATTTTGGATTTCTATTTCTTGGATCGTCAATGCTTTTTTTCTTCTTTTCACCGATCTAACTATTGTTTCGATTTTGGGTCCCCGTACAAATTAGGTTTGAATTTTTTAGGGTTCCGTATCTTGTTTGTAGTTTGAATTTGGGGTCCTGCACATCTGGTTCTTGATGATCTTGTTGTTTCTCTCTTCTCCACATGTCAACTGTCAATTCTCTTCTGATGATCGTTATAAACGAATTGGTACAGGTTGATGGATGTGAAACAAGGGCAGAACAAGGAAGGGAAAACCGTTCTTTACTTGGTGTTTGAATACATGGATACTGATCTGAAAAAATTCATCAAGAGTTTTCGTCATACGGGAGAAAGCATTCCCGTCAACACTGTCAAGGTACGGAGAAATGCTGTTTTTAGCTTTCATTTTTATCTAGAAATTACTGCTATGTTATTGCCTCTCAATCGCCCATCTCAATCGCCCATAGAGTTTAACATTTCTGTTTTACTTTGAAGAGTCTGATGTACCAACTCTGCAAGGGCGTTGCCTTCTGCCATGGTCATGGAATCCTGCACAGGTAATCTTCACTCTACTTGGGACTATAGTGTAGTGATAGTTGTGAAGTAAACGCAATCTAATTCTCTGCTTCTAATTTTATTTCAGGGACCTGAAACCACACAATCTCTTGATGGACCGAAAGACTATGATGCTCAAAATTGCAGACCTTGGACTCGCTCGAGCATTTACTTTGCCAATTAAGAAGTATACTCACGAGGCAAGTCATATATATATATATTGAGTTTCTGTTTTCTCTAGTTGTGTTTTACACATGGCGTGGTAGAATTAGAACGATCCATTGTTTTGTGTCCTCCAGATACTGACCCTCTGGTATAGAGCTCCTGAAGTTCTGTTGGGAGCTACTCATTACTCCACTGCTGTAGATATATGGTCTGTTGGCTGCATATTCGGTATCTTTCTATCCCGTAATTAGTAGCTTTTTATAATTTTTTTGTTTCTGAATTCCATGTATACGCATCGTAAACTTGTTTCTTTTGATAAATTCAGCCGAACTTGCCACCAAGCAGGCGCTCTTTCCTGGAGATTCTGAGTTGCAACAGCTCCTTCATATCTTCAGGTGCTGATGCCACTGCCTTCTTCTTGTCATAACGTTAACAAATGGGTCGTCAACCTTTTTGACAAAGATGTTGTGGGAATTTTGTGTGCAGGCTATTAGGGACCCCGAATGAAAAAGTTTGGCCTGGTGTGAGCAAACTAATGAACTGGCACGAGTATCCCCAGTGGAACCCCCAAAGCCTTTCAACAGCTGTCCCCAACTTGGATGATAAAGCGCTCGATCTGCTTGCAGTAAGTGATCTGCTAAAATGTTTTCGTATATGTAGATGGATAAATGTGTTGATGGTAGTGGTATCTAATTAGAGGAAGAATGGTTTGTGCAGCAAATGTTGAAGTATGAACCCTCAAAGCGTATTTCAGCGAAGAGAGCAATGGAACATCCTTATTTTGATGACTTGAACAAGGCATATCTCTGATGCCGTGTTGAAGATGATTTGATTAGCGGCTTTCTTCATGAAGGGAAGGAGAAGAGAAGGGGTTGCTTTTCTCAAGCAGAAATTTGGAGTATATTGTAGAGAAAAAGGGATGGCTGTTTTGTTTGTTGTGTAAGGGATGGCTATTTTGTTTGTTGTGTAACCAAAATGATCAAACCAGTTTTTAATCAGTCGGTATTTCGTGTGAAGAAATACTGGCTTACCTTTTGGAAATCTCGTGTTGTTCAACACTTGTTAAATTTCAAGCTGACAAGGCAAAGTGGCAGAAAACAGTAGTACAGTTTGACGGTGTGGTCGAGTAATGAGGTAGAGTATATCATATCTCAATCATACTAATTTGTTGGCCAACACCAGGACCCCCTCCATATATATACATACAGGCACACGCCTTAAGCCCAGACAGAACCTTTAAAACCCAACTCCTCCTGTGGTAGGAGCCATTATAAAGCCCAATAGGTTATATCACACAAAGGTAAAACTTTGAGAGGAGTAAAAAAGGTAAAACTTTGAGATCTCGTATCATTGGGGGAAAAGAAAATTTGGAAATTAGTGAAAGCTAATTTACATTTTAGGCACATGTATGGCACATGTATAATTCTCCGACCAGATGACTTATAGAGTCGAGAGGTTACGGCGTAATCCCGGAAGCGTACGACAGGCCAAGCAAACACTCCCACTCCCATTGCCGAATGCATATATATGAGCGCTCCTTTTAATTCCCACCTCTCCGTAACATACACACGGGCGCCCCAAGGCAGGCAGCCGGAGACAAACCCTTTCACTTCCTTTACTTTCCCTCCATTTCATCAATCTCGCTCCATCACTTTCCATGTCGATTGCTCCTTTTGCGGACTGCTCATCGCGCATGTGCCCGCTCTGTATGTTTCAATGTATATTGCACAACGATTGAACGCCCTACTCCACCTTCTCCCCTCAATACCTCTGCTGCGTCACATCATCCTCGGTAATCCATATTTCACAGGCGAGCTTCTGAGCTATTATGCTCTTCTTCTTCCTTTTCTTTCTGCTATGCCTTCTCTGGACCAATTTTGCTTGTTTCTGTTCCGACAGAAGGAAATGAACAATTTTTTCTTTTTCTATGCCCTTCCTCCGACTATCTATCGGATTGGAAAATAGAAAATCATAATATATATGTATCTTTTGAGGGCGATTGTTTTTCCATTTCCACCCATATGAAGTTCTCTCCTCCTTATTATGGCTGTTTAATCGGTGGCATTTATATGATTCGTTTTTCTTGCTTATGGGAGCATCGCACAGTCTCAATTTTGTCGCCATCAGTGGAATAAGCTTTGTTTTTATTATCATTTTGATAGTGTCATAAGCAAAATGGACGATACCCATAAGGCGGGGCAGGATTTGCTCCACGGCCCCGGCGCAGGTCTTGCTCAAAACCAAGTTCAAGTTCGGGAGCCAGGATTTGCAGTGACAAAGGAGGATCAGAACCTTAAAGAAGATGAGCAATCAGCCTGCCCAATGTTTAACGACTTTCACGAACTTCCTTGCCTTCAAAAACCGATTGAGGACGATGAGGATTTACCTGATCATACTGCCGTTGAAGCTGCTGCTGCTGATGCTAAAGTTGTGGAGGTTGCTCTGGATGAACCGCCTGAAAGTAAAGAAGATGCCATGGAGACTGATCCTCCAATTGGGAACGAAGATAATCCTTCTGCACCTCCCATTTCACCTGACATCTCTCTGCCTTCAAATGCCGCAAATCAGAGTGCGGCACTCGTGAAGAATGCATGGATTGATATTGAAGTATGCCAACCGACAACTACTGATTGCGTCTTAATCACTACTCTAATAATCAATGGATTGAATCTTACATGCAAGATGAATTGAGTAATGTGATTCCCTCTTTGTTATTGTGTTAAATGCAGATGGCTGAGGGTGACGAATCGGGGACACCAGAGGATAGGGTGGCATTTATGAAGGAGATCGAAAATTTCCACCGGGAGAGGGCTTTGGAGTTTAAGCCTCCTAAGTTTTATGGGGAGCCACTAAACTGCCTGAAGTAAGTTTGTAGGCACTTTAAATGCAACTGGCTTTGTGAACATCAGAATATGATGTTTTGGTTTGTATACTTAATTACGTATTCTTTTTTCTGTGGAATGTAGGTTATGGAGAGCTGTTATTAGATTGGGAGGCTATGATGTGGTAGATATGCATTGCTTCATAATGATATTTTGGTTACGTTTCCAAATCTTGCATGTTCTTGGCATTTGTATTTTAGTCGTATGAATTTAATCCAATTTTTGGCCTTCTTTTTGTCATACGTGAATTAAGATGTTTATTGGAAGTTTGAAATTATTGTTTATTGTTTATTGTTTAGTGCTTTTAGAAGTGAAGTACTGTTAATAAAGCTATAACTGTAATGTTACTAATTTTGAAGACTTACTGAGTCTGTATTTACAGGTACCCTTTCATTGTATTAGATTTTGAATATTGATTTACACTTTTGGTAGGTGACTGCATCTAAATTATGGCGACAAGTTGGAGAGTCTTTCCATCCCCCAAAGTAAGAAGTAGCATCCATCAGTTTCATCCAACTCTGATTTCCTATCGGATATCTTTGTATAAAATACGAACTCTTCTTTACTCCAACTAATGTAATCCCCTTTCTCTCTCTCTCTCTTTCCAGAACATGCACGACAGTCTCTTGGACATTTCGCATTTTCTATGAGAAGGTGTTGTCTACTTCTTGAAACTTTCCTGATGTTTATGTGGTTATTATTATTTTTCTCACTTATATTTTTGCTAAAGCTGATTCTCTGCATTAATGTTGAATGGTTGGACTTTGAATTGCCATTACGATATCGATGATGCGATAGGAACTGAAAAGAACTTAAATAACTGATAACTGATATGAATGCATTTCACTTACCTTTATAGTTATTCTCTGTATTATAGATCTCTTCAGTTATGTGCTTAATTTGTCTTTCCTCTTCGTTGGCTATCGTTGTAACATGCAGGCACTTTTAGAGTATGAAAAGCATAAAAGACTAACGGGGGAACTGCAACTACCTGTTGGATCCCTTCCTCAGTCTACAAATACAGAAAAGGAGGTAGATTTTATTTCTCTATCCAGTAGGCTGCTTTTCGTATTTAATTATATTTTTTGTTTATGATTTCTATAAATGTACTACAAAGGGTACCTGCAGGCTTAATCATGATTTTTGGAAACTCCTTTTCCTTTTATGACTTAGAAATCCAGTTTTTTCGTCTAGACTGGCTACTATCAAGCTCCTGGCTCAGGTAGGGCCCGAAGGGATGCTGCAGCTCGTGCCATGCAGGGTTGGCATGCACAACGTCTGGTTGGATATGGCGAGGATGCTGAGCCTATAATAAAGGTCTGTGGAGAGTTGAATCATGTTGATTTCTTATTAGTTTTAGTTACATATCATTTATTTCACATGTTCCGAAGTTGTATGGCCGTCTTCAAAAAATAGTAGAATGAGCTGTTTCAGTTTTTTCCTTGATAGGACAAGAACTTGGGCTCTACATCTAAGCGTGAAAAAAATCTCAAGAACATTGGTACGATCCTTGAAGATCTTGTTTACTTATGTTTTCGATGCTTCGTATTTTCATCTTGTTGATGTCCTGAGCCAGGTTTTCCAAAACACAAGATGCTAACTAACACAGACCACGTTGGAAGAGATGCAGATTTTGAATCAGACAAGCAGTTAAGATTATAGTTATTTTTATAGCTAAAATATATGTATATTTATTCCTTTGTAATTTTCCTTTTCCATTAATAATCTGGGAATTGGTCCATTAATTTGTCTGCTCATTTTTTTCAAGTATAGGTTAGACCTCTCAGTTAAAAACTTAATGGCTTAATTATGTTTTCTTAGGCATATTTGAAGTGCGAATTATTTCCACTTACATATAGACTTAATGACTGTGAGATCCCACATTGGTTAGAGCATTTCTTATAAGAGTGTGTAAACCTCTCCCTAACTAACGCGTTGTAAAATCGTGAGGCTGACGGCGATACGTAACGTGCCAAACCAAACAATATCTGTTAGCGGTGGGCTTGGGATGTTCCAAATGGTATAGAGCTAGACATCGTGTGGTATGCCAGCGAGGACGCTGGCCCCCTACAAGGGTGGATTGTGAGGTCCCACAACGGTTGGAGAGGGTAACGAAACATTTTTTTATAAGGGTGTAGAAACCTCTTCCTAGTAGACGCATTTTAAAAACATTGAGGGGAAGCCCAAAGGAGAAAGCCCAACCAAAGAGGACAACATCTGCTAGCAGTGGGCTTGAACTGTTACAAATGGTATCAGAGTCAGTCACCAGATAGTGTGCCAGCAAGGACGCTGGCCCCCAAGGGGGTGGATTGAGGATCCCACATCGGTTGGAGAGGGGAACGAAACATTCCTTATAAGGGTGTGGAAACCTCTCCTTAGCAGACACGTTTTAAAATCTTGAGGAGAAGCCTGAAAGGGAAAGCCGAAAGAGGACAATATTTGCTAACGGTGGGCTTGGGTTTGGGCTGTTACAATGACTATGCCAACTAACATACAGATTTAATGACACTTTGTGAAGTTAGTCATATTTGAAGTGCTGCATTATGTTCTCTAAAGCATTTTTTGAATATTCAGACTTACAGATTGTAGCCTTTTCATTTTTCCTGCTTGATTCAGAGTATAGAATCTAAAACAATTTTTATCTGTCAGAGTGATGACAACAGTTATGGATGTTGGACCTCCAGCTGATTGGGTCAAAATTAATGTGCGTGAGATGGTTAGTACACTGCTTTTTTCCATTGCTGAATGGTTTTCTTTGCAACTATGAAATCATGTCGTGGTTCTCTGCATCATCTTCAACTGGACTGGTTACTGACTGTTTGGGTCTATGCTCAGAATGACTGCTTTGAAGTATATGCATTAGTTCCAGGGCTTTTACGAGAGGAGGTATGCAGTCCTTTTTTTTATCTCTCTTTTAATTGTTTTATTGTGCGGATATGCAGTGAATTACATTTGCATTCAGGTGTTAGAATTTGATTAAAAAGAATATTCAGCAATAGTATCGTATGAACCTGACTTTTCTTTCAGGTTCGGGTTCAATCCGATCCAGCTGGACGTCTGGTAATTACTGGTCAACCTGAGCAGGTTGATAATCCTTGGGGCATCACGCCTTTTAAAAAGGTATGGTTTTTTACACGATGAAGCCTTTATTTATTGGTTGGGCTGTTGGAGTTGGAATTATAGATTGGTTAAATTTTCAGGTGGTGAGCTTACCCACAAGAATTGATCCTCTTCAGACATCTGCCGTGGTGAGCCTTCATGGCCGACTTTTTGTGCGAGCTCCTTTTGAGCAAGGATCCATGTGAGCCTCCTTGGTTTGATTGAGAGAGACTCCTTATGTTTTCAGGGCAAGAATCTTGCATTTGTAGTAAGAGAGGAGTTGTATAATTCATGGGCTGTTTAGGTTAGGAACCTTGAAAGTTGATAATTTTGTTGGGGGAATCTCTCCGTGGAAGTTGGAAGCGGTTTGAAGTTGATTCCAGTGTTTCCTGAGATGAGTAAGATCCATGGCGAAGAAATTACTCATTTGGTGAATGCATCACCTTGCACCCGATGCAACGCTAGGTAAGGTGATGCTGACATAGAATCCTGCATTAAAAATCTAGAGAATATGTCCACACTGAAACCGGCCTTTGCTCTTTCCTCCCATGATTATTAACACTTTCCGCTTTGCTTCTGGCTTTAGGGTAGTCCAGGATCAACATTATCATTTCGACTTATTGGTTGTCTCCTCCAACTTCTCACTTGTTTTATATGCCCGGTTTGAGATGATAATAACTTTGTGGGGTTGATTCCCTGATATATTATAATGGTATTCATCTATAATATTGACGCAATTAATAGTAATAATATTTTGTTTGTTTTTCTGGGAAAGCTGATCTTCCTTGTTGGACATGGTTTGGACCTCTCCAAGATTCTGGTTCCTTCTGGACTATTGCGGTGAGTTGAGAAGCTTTTGTTATTTGCTAATATTGGAACTTACTGCAATAGATGAAAGAGATGGAGAAGGAATTTAAGCATCTAGATCTAATGAAAAACATGCTATTTGTTCATCAACCAAATCTCTTATTCATGTCTATGTTCTTTCATTAATCATAAAAAAATAAGTGAAACACGAGTCAAATTATCACACTAAGTTCACACTTCGTTTCATTATTTATATTTGTTATTGTCATTGTGCAAGTGAAACACGAGTCAAATTATCACACAGTAGCGCATTTGGGGAACAAACCAGATGAATGATAGCCACTGTAGACTAAATATGAAAATGATAAGAAAATGTTCACATTCTCCCAAAACTGCGAAATATACCTCTGTGGTACTTATTACAGAAACATGTTACACCATAAATTGAAAACTCATCAGTAGTTATCCTCTAAACAATTCTGCCAGCTGAAGTAAACAAGGTTAAAGAAAATAACATTGTCACCGGAACAGCATCACATAAAATAAGTTCACTATGCTTCCAAAGATGCCTTTCCACTGAAGGAACTCGATGACATAACTGAGAGAACATCGGTCACCGATCCCATGACGCTTAATGCTGCTTTAAGAACCTCCTGGGAACACCCTGGTTTTACTATGGTTCGGACCTGAAGTGAAAGATGTAACAACTTCGATCAGAAATCACAGTAAGCTCAACCACATAAATACCACCAATATTTGGTTATAGGCATTCAAAGAATCTAAGAAGCGCACCTTATCAAGATATTCCTGTAGTTTCTTGATGCGGCCCATGTAATCCTGGTCCTCAACGCAAAGAGAGATAGGCTTGGCATCAGCACCAGGACCATCAAACTGAAGTGGTCCAGGGTTTCTATAGAGATCGTCTATAAGAAACTTGCTCGCATTTTCTCTCAATAGCCTGTAATAATAAACAAAATACATTGCCGTGGGTGATGTGAAGCTATTTTGGATCGTCAAACCATTAGAATTATGAAAACCAAAGAATTCTTACTCGTATGCTTTCCCTTTCAAATCTACAGTTGCTGGGTGAATTGCAGGTTTTCCAATGGATGACGCTCCAGGATTTTGAGCCCAACGCTTCACAGTCATCATGGACTGTGTTTTATCAGAAGCAATTAAATAGTTAGTAGGCATTGTCAAGACGTAAATGATATCAATAAGAAACAAAGCATGAAAGGAACAAAACCCAACTGCAATCGGGGCAGCACCACAGCGCCATTTGTTCACTGGATTTTTCAGGTTAGTTAGAGTAGCCATGTAACCGTTCAAGCCAGCAGCTAAGATATGGTAGCAAACATGCCCAAGAACCTGAATAAAAAGAAGAAATGTTAAATTATAGCTCATGGTAAATGGGTATGCTCATCAGACTTCATAACTGTTAATTGTCACATACATAGGCATAGTCACAATCAAATTTTGAAGGTAAAGATCCCCGAGCCTGGTAACCAAAGAAGTGGCAAATGGCATTGAATTTCTTCCCCTTGTAAGTCCCTTCTTTCTGTTAGAAATGAAATACACCACAATCACAAAATTTCCAATAAAACTAGGCACAGAAAAGAAAACAGTTAGAAAGAACAAGGCCAATTAATATTTGAAGATCAGAGTCCGATAACTGAAAACCATAGGCATACTTTTTATCGCTCCCTCACAAAGGCAAGTCGTATTAAATATTACACATCTCCGCAGGGGGATGGGATGCCCATGGAGTAAAATTACAAAAGTAGACTCCAGGTTTATACCAAAAGAAAAAACAAAACACTTTTTTTATAAAACCAAACGTAGCATGTCTTACCAGACGCTTGTTAATTTCAGCCTCCACAAGATGTGCCAAAAGTTTCTCTGTCTCAATCTAAAGAAAATTACAAACAAAGGACATCAATTGTCTAAAAGAATGCATGACGTTTTTTTTAATCTAAAACATGCATCTGAAATACCTGAGATAGTTGAGCAGAATCATCTGATTCGGGGTCAAGTAGCAACTGGAACAATAAAGTTGCAACAAACATTAAGATCTCACAGCTTAGAGTGGACAAAATTGGAGATGGAATTAATTTTGAAGATTTCAGCATTAACCTGCTTCCTGATAAAAGGTGGCAGAAATTCAAAAAGCGCTGATGCCCAAGGAGAGAGTTGGGAAGAAATGTTATCAACCAGAACTCCTTGCTTGAGTAAACTGTGAATCTCCTGAAAGGGGCAAAATAAAGCCACATCGTTGAAGTACTTCACGTAGTTTTTTAAACAAAAAAGGTCAATATATGGTGCCGCTTTCCATGAACCAGAGAAAGGGAGAGAAGGAACCTTCAAGAGAGCATAGATTTCAGGAATACTTTCGATGAGCCCTTCGGGTAGTAAGATGACCCCATGGTACTTGTCTGATCATAATTCACAAGATCAGACAACTGAAAACTACTACCAAATATGAGATTAGAGGCACAATAAATTGTACGAGACCTTGGTGTGCTCTAGCCTGAACAGCATCACATATCTGTGTCGTCAAATCAAAAAGAGTAAGTTTTGATGCAGCCACCTCCTCTCCAAGAATAACCTGCAAATGAGCAGAGCCAATCAGACGAGATATATGGCAGTAAGCCCTTCAAAGAAACAACTTCAGTAAAAATAAAATAATATGGAAGAAAAACTAACCAAATTTGGATGGGATTGAAGAGTGCACTCCAAAGCAACATGGGATGCTTTCCGGCCCATGAGTCTAATGAAATAGTAGTACTGGAGAAACACAAAAGGCATACATAAAAATTCTTAATAAAATTTTCAAGAGCGCCATTTTTTTACAAAGCATGAGGATTTTTATCATATGAAGGCAAAAGAAGGAATGCGCAAGATAAACAATGTCAGCCCACATCCATGTAACTGTAGAACAATGACTACTTCTTTCCTAACCTTCTCTGCAGACAGGGCGTCAGTGCATACATTGCTTATTAGCTGAGAATTGACCTGATGATGAAAAGAATTGTTAAGTTTAGTCCCTTCTACAAGATAACATGATGCTTAATCAACAATAAGTTCCTTCTACAAGATAACATGATGCTTAATCAACAATAAGTTCCTTCTACAAGATAATATTATGATGCTTAATCAACAATATGCAAAGCAAGCGACAGTGAAAACCCACAGATTGGAAAGAAATAAGAAATTATTTTTCATTCATTTAAATTTGCTGCAAAGTATTAGTAGCTTTCAAAGACTCAAAAAGGAAAAAAATATCATACAACAAAATCATAGTTCCACTTGGAAAATATCAGAAATTTTTTTTTACCTTGCAAATGGTGTCAAAGCCAACATTTGTTTCAACGAACTGGTTCTTGAGATCTCCATTCAAAGTAACAGGAACACCTACAACCTGCATGGTTCAGTCCGATCAGTTCAGAGCAAGAAAGAAATATCACATCGTGGATGAAGTGGCACACACAAGAGAACTTAAAAATTGCAGTTAAGTACAGTTTATTTTTTAGGTAAGAAACTGACCTTTATTCAGAAAAAGAAAAATGAAAGAAAACAAGGGCATACAAAAAACGAGCCCGAACAAGAGGCTCCCAAAGCAAATTACAAAAAAGGACACCAATCCAAAAGAATAAGACCACAATCATAGTTATAAAAAGGCCTAATGATCGAGGCTCAAATAGAGGCATTAAACCCAGGCACCTCCCAAACCTCCTCGTTCAATATCTCAACAACTCAAAATTTCTATTAGTATTGAAAACTATTTCAGTAATTTTGTGTGTGCGTCTGTTAAACAGTATATCTTTATTTGAACTCACTGAAATTACCTTTGTGGGGCATTTGGATTCAGCAAATGTTTCGGCAAGCTGAGCAGCATCAGTGTTTGATGTCACTCCTTCAAAACCACCAGATATTCATATTTAGTTCACACATGAATAGAACAGCTAGGCAGAGCCAACGAAAGAAATTTACCTCCAATTATGACAAGACCATCCAGTTTCAGATCTAGGCATGTCTTAAGTGCAGCATTAACCTGCTCTTTTGTTCGAATTTGATCCTTGGTCCGTCCAAGTAGATCATAACCACCTATGTAACATGAATGCCACTAATGTAAAGAAACTTTATACAGCATGGCAAATCAAAATATCTGCAACACAGAGGATTCAAAACACAGCATACCTTGATTTTTGTACGTTGAAAGAACGTCTTCGGTTATCTCAAGAGTTTTCTGGGAAAATAAACCTTCAGAGCCACCTGTTGAAGAAATAACAGTTCATTCAATTTACCTCCGCCATTCAAATGACAACAACACAGACCACAGAAGAAAAGAAAGAAAAAGTCTTAAATCATTTGAAAGGGAACATAATTATCGATGCAGTATGAGAAAAAAGCGCTAAACATCAACATAGTTCTCAAGAACTCATCACCATGCCATACTGACGGACTATTTCATAGCATCAAAGCACACGTCACGAGTAAGTGAACATTTAAGCTTTACTCGTATCAATACCAAGACGAGAGGAAAAACTTACCCAAAAATCCAAGCAATACACTATTCGGGTTGTGGACTTTGAGAGCATTATGAAGTCCCCATATAACGTTATGGCCTCCAGGGGATTGCCTTCCACAAAATACTATTCCCACCCTGTTAGTAGCAAAGCAATGAGAGAAGTTTTTTTTGTACAAATATCTATTTTGTAGCCTCAAAAGCACAAATAACATATGAAGTTATAGCGACTGTAGACTATGAAAATTAATCGTCAAATGCACGCACCGGATTGATGGATGTTCAGTAATAATCTGAGCATCTGGGACTTTGGCAGTTGCCCTGAGAAAGTGAGCCAATGGCTGACCGTACGTGTGGGGAAAGGCCCGACTAATGGTGGGAGCATCAGCAGGATCCACAGCTGTAGTGGCATCACCAAATTCAACCCTAACTTCTGTTCCCTGTAGAATGATATAATGAGGACATGTAAGCGACTACACCAAATTTAACATTTTTGTACATCTGCACCAGACCACCAACTCGAAACGCAAACTAGTTTATTTTATTATTCAATTCCAATATTTATTATCGTTCGCTTGATTTCCACAGTACCACAATTGTCAAATTGGTATTTTTTTTAAGCTATGTCAGCACAAGAAAGCATGCAGTTTCGATCTTCAGTATAAAAAGATATGAAAATCAAGATGAGCTAAGACGGGCAGACAACACAGAATCAAAGTATGAAACTAATAACATAGATTGGTAGTGATATAAATGGAAGGATCCAGAGTTTATGGTATAAGCAACGCAAAATGTATATGCAGGAATGACAATAATCCTTAGGTGTGGGACGCGAACTACATTGGGCCAGATCTAAGCATGGAGTGAGTAGTAGGATAAGATGGATGAGGAAGTGAGTGAAAAAGATGGGATGCAAATGATAGGGCAGCATGTGAGAAAAACGATTGCATGAAAAGAGGGAGAGAAGAGAAGGAAGAGAGAACCTGGAGGCAGGGAGGAAGCAGTGGTTGGTAGAGAGAGCGGAATTTCTGAAGATCGGAGAGTTGGCGGGGAATGCCGTAATCGGAGTCCATGGGGGAGTTGGGTTGGTAGGGTTGGGGCGGAGGAACCAGAGAGAGTGAGGAGTGAAAGAGTCGTTTGGTATTGGTTCAGCTTGGAAATGACGGTTTCGTTTTATAGGCGCATGGCGTTGATACCAAGCAAGCGCTGTTTGGTTTCAGTTGGTGGTGTTGCGCTGTGTACACCAAAGAATGACCATACTTGGGGGCTTATATTACCACAATGCCATTGGTGTAAGGGGGGATTGTGAAAGAAAATCGAAATTTGGAGCCGACTTCTGCGTCGGCCCACTGTCTAACCAAAACCAGTTTCCGGTGTGGTTAACCATGGGCAGCCCTGCACGCCTCGCCTCACTTTCCACCGTAAAAAAATAATCCTCTTTTGAAAAAAAAAAAGACTAATTTACACCAAAACAAGCTGCCATTAGATAACAATGACAACTCCAACTCCACCACTATCCATTCCCATCACTAAACAACATTATCATTCACCTAAACCCTCAAAACCACACCACGCTTTCTAACTAACTAACACCTGTAACATCTCTTGCTCTGTAATACTGCAACAACAAGACGCAACTTTGGTCCTTCAATTATATTTGTTTTCATTCTTACTTCATTTTACCCGTCCAACCTACATTTGTTTTGTATCATGCTCTTGCTGCTAATTTAATGTTATTGTTTGTTTGTGTGCGTCTTTGCATATTCCATCAATTTTGCACCAATCATTTGCTAAGAAGTGAGCTACTTTTATTTCAAACCAAAATACTGTTTTTTTACGCAAAACCTCAAATTCTATGTGCATGTTGTTTGAAATACATTTGCTTTTCATATATATATTTTTTTTAATGCAAATGAAAATATTCATTTTTGTTGACAGCATTACCTCACAAAAAAAATATGATAAGAAATCCTCGGAGATTAACCACCGACTACAAAACTATCATCACACCCACGATGCAAAGTGGTTGGGTTGGGAAGAAATACAAAACTATTTCTGCATATTTGAAGCATTGCCATCAGGATTGTTAAACGGGAATTGGTGCAGCAACAACCTGAACTAATTTGTCACCCAAACCTGAACTAATTTGTCAATCACAAGCCATCATCCTATGGAAACGCATAGGACCTATCCCTCAAAAAAGGAGAGCAAAGGGGAAGAAAGAAATCCATATATAAGCACCAATTCTTACGACAGAATCCACGCAATATATCAAAATGAATATAATCCATCCAGTCCCAAGGCATTTTTCCCCTCGAAGTCCATGGGAACTCTATCATAAAGCCGGCTTCATGTTTCCATTGGCCACGGTAATCTTCCTCTGCCTCTACCTCTCCCTCGCCCATAAAGGTATCCATTGCTCTACTTTCTTATTCAAATATCAAATCAAGCCAGATTCCTCATTTGCTGCCTATCAACAACAGCATGTTGCTCACCTCTGCATATTTCCATTCAGCTAAACATTGTTGTCATCTAATATGAAAGTCCAAGTTATATAGATATGGCCTGATTATCCTAGCTACAATAACTATCGAACAACAATTCATCTGAAAAAAGGCGCTAATATCTCTAGGCCCTTTCAAAACCCAAACAATTTTCAAACAATTTCCATATAAAGAAAAGTCGTGGAACATCTAAAGAAGGTTACTCTCTACCAAAACTAGTTATGCAAGGAACAACAAGGCCATACACGGTTAGTTAACATAATCAACATTCATCAATTTGACTAGCACACAGTACAACCTTATTTGTTTCACACTCAACGATCTAAAAGCACCATGATCTCACTTTTTCTCACGTATACTCAAATGTAACTCCTTCCCCCACAAGTTGGACAACATCTCCATGTACTTCCCAGCCGACTGATAGAGAAAAAGTAATCGGAATTTGAATTGCTAGCTAACATGCCAACGCATTTTCTATCCTGTTCTTGCCTGGATCAGAAATTCATGTAGGAGAAACTGAAATTCATAAGTAGAAAGGAAGTTGGCATAAACAGAAGAAACACAGGTTGTTAAAGCATATGAATGATGAAGCGAAGATAGAAACGGTGAGAAATCATATCCGACAACATCAACTAGAAAGAGAAATAACACAACCAAATGGCCTACTTGATATCATATCCATCGTTTTGTCTAGAAAAGATTTCTACTTCCTATTCGGGCAAACGGTACTCTGGTGTAAGGTAAGGTACATAATTAAATGACAAAGAGCACAGAACAATTACCAAACAGGCAAATTCCAACACGAACACGTACACCTCACTGCTTCTCCTCCCTCTCTCTGTTCCACTGTTCAATACGGGCTCGGCGCTCTTCGCTTCCTTCTCTGACAGGACTTCTGCTTCGCCTGGGGCTTCCATGCCTTCTCCTTCCCCCATCTCTGTCATACCTATCTGGACGCTCCTTGCTCCGTCCGTTTCCACGATGGTCACGATCTCTATAATCCCTCTCACGCCTATCGTAGTCCTTCCGGTTCCGCGGACTCAAACTTCTACTCCTGCTACGGCTCCGCCTATAACCCCGGAACCTACTACCGAACAGCTTCCTCCTCAAGTCCTTCCCAATCATCTTAACATGCATAAAATTGCAATATCCACCTCGATTACAATTATTCTCCTCGTACTGGCGGCACGTGGCCTCGCGGAAATCTGTCACCGGAGAAAAATCTGCGATTATGGGTCGACCAGAGTAGAATCGCCCTTGCAACGCTTGAAGTGCGGCAGCAGCCTGGTCCTCCTCCCTAAACTGAACGTAAACATTGCCGATCATGTGGTCGGCGAGGTTATCACAGATGTTGAGGCTCTCGATCTCACCGAACTTTCCGAGTTCCTCGTAAATGTCTTCGTAGAAATCCTCGAAGTGCTCCTGAATCTTGCGGGGATCTATGGGCTGACCCTGAGCATCGACACCAGGGGTGATCATGTCGGGGCGCTGGTACATGTTCGATAAGAGAAGAGTGGGGGAAATAGTAGGGCGGTTGTGGAGGCGAGAGCAACGATCTCCATGACGGCAGGCGCCGATCTTGAAATAGAAAGGGCAGTTGACACGGTCCTTCTCGGTGCCAAATATTGAGGCCAAGTGTTCAGCCATTGTAGATCAGAAGAAGAAGTTCTCAGCTACAATTGTGGACCTGATTGGGAGGGTTTCGACGGAATAGAAGCTGATATTGAAATGAATATCAAGAGAAAACGGGAGCCGATAGTGCTATGACAAGTTAGAGAAGAAAAGTGGAAGGGAGGCAAAAACCCTAAATTGGAGAGATGGATCCCAGATACGTAAACGAGGAGTTTCGGAGAAGAGCTGGGTTAAAATTTCGCTCGACCATACCAGCCATACTATTTATATTTATATTTATATTCATATTTTTTATTGCTATTTATCAAAGAGAAGCCATGGCTTAATTGCTAATGTCTTCACAAAAAAATATAAATAAATAAATTCACATAACAACCAGCCACTTGGTTGGTTTTTTTTTTTTTTTAAATAATGTAAAAAAAAATAAAATCATAACACCCGAACAAAAAAAAGATTAGATAATTCAAATGAGAGACCCCAAATTTATCTCCATAGCCAAACTCGAAAAGTCAATGATACTAATATCTACTAGTTGAATGAAATATGCGTGAAACCCTCAACAGATGGACGATTTGTGTCAGAGGAGCATACCAGCTACAAATATAGGGTGGAAGTGTTGTGACCAACCAGAGGTGCTACCTTTAGTATCATCACTCCACTCCCACTCCCACCTAGTTTTTCATCTCAAATGTGTTTAGTGAAACAAATTGCAGTGATCTCCTTCTTATTTAACTTAATAATTAAACTAAAAAGTCACATTCAATCAAATTTTCAAATGATTCCAACCATACATGACCTTACATAGTTACAACACATAAAACTACAACCAAAACAAAGTTATTTATAAAAAAGAAACAGAAAACAAGGGTTGTTGACCATAACAAACCCAAAACCAATTCAGGTTTTTTTTTCTTTTTTTTGGCCAAGGAGAGAACTTGGAGAAGGTTCTTTAGGAAAAGATCCACCAGTCACAGGATAAGCCATTTAGGGAATTACAATTTACAACAAACAGAGCTGATCATCGGAAACTGTTAGAAGGAAAGTTGCGCAATGGATTCTGCCTTAGTAAGTCTGCTTCCCTGCTCAAACAACATAAAAACAATAAGGGTTGCCTGCAAATCATATTTGAGCCTCCTCATGCAAAAAAACAAAGCATTGGAAATTCTGTGGTAATGATTTCTCACCTTTTCCAATCGCGTCCATCAACTTGCCTAAGGTGTGTGGTTGAAGACTTGCGACTTTCTTCATGTTCCAGTTTATGCGCCCTATGACAAGAGAAGAAATTCATGTGAAGTTAACGAACCCATAGTTCATACAAAATAATGCTTTAGCTTACTCTTCGCATTCCTCGTCCACAAACACCTCTATAGGTGCATTTGCATTCGATCCTCCAATCCTGGATCCAATCCTTTGCGGTATCTGACAACAGAAATGTTGAGGGTCTTATACACTGCATCAGTTGTACAATTCAAGAATTGTATCTACTAAAATAATCTTGCATCTTGATGTCACTGTCAAACCTTGTGGGAAGTCCATTTGGAAGGAGGTGCATTGTTTTCTTTGTTTCTCTCCCTTCGACTCCCCAATACTGTCCAAGAATTCAAATGTGCCTTTGAAACATCTGGTTCATGGTGTGAAGTAACGGCGACTTTTGAATCATCATAAACATCAAGTGGAGCTAGATATGACCTACCATTGAATTGCAACAAAGTTCATAGGAGAGAAATGATCTCAAGAAACACCCCATATTAGTGAAATTTGTGCAACTCCGTACTAAAATCTCTCCAAGTGTAACTGCACTCACCTTTCAGGCTTCATGTTTTTCCTGGAACGATCGACATTGCCCATTGTCAGCATTCCTGCAACAAATAAAGACTTTAGAAAGTGTAAAGTTCTAATGCAGATGAAATCAAATGAACTTATGATTACCTGGATTGGGAAGCACAGTTCCAAAGCTACGAACTGGTAAGCATTTTTCCACCGACTCCTACACAATACAGGTACCCTCACATGACTGAGCTACAATTTACCTAAATAGTTTCGTATACGATATATCTGAATTTTATAATGATTTCAACTTAGAAGTTCAGTTAGAATGATATGAGCAACGTTCAATTTAAAACCTTGCTTACATCTGCAGCTTTTGGTCTTTGCATTGTGCGCAAGAGAAACATTCTATAAGCATCCTTCAATTTATCTATTGGATGAGCATTCCTACACATCAAAAGAGTTATTAAAAAAATTAAATAGAATCATAGCAGGGGAAATTTTTAAAGAAATTATAAAGAAAACTTTTCTATATTTACAACATAAGAAATACAAGATAAGACATTATGTCTCAAAGCGAAAATGGAGGAATTCATCAATATAAATTTGTGGACTCACATCCATTTTAATATTATCAAAGGGGAAAAATAAAGAAAGAAAGAAATATTCATTGTTGCAGCATGAGGGCACGACAACCAAGTTCTGTCTTGTTTATACTAAATTGTGTTCAAATCAAACAAACCATATCTACCATAGAATGATACAGTCCACTTCTTCCAATAAATTAACCGCACAAAATCTGTATCAAACATAAATATTATGCTAGAAAACAAAGTATCAAAACCAATGCATAAAATAGAAGTCATACAAAGGTTAAAGCGAGAAGTTAGTAACTTAATCCTAGTTATATTTAGGACACACTTGTCTCAATCCTTGCAGCCGAAAAGCAAGAAAGAATTATAATTGATCATGTTATTCACGTTAATTAACAAAAAAATGCCTGATCCAATTCAATAAGAAATGCCAAAACATTAAATTGAAGCCTCACCTTGAGATACCAAGATTAAACATGTCATTTGCAGCCTTTGATTTAGATTTAGACTCCAAATGAAGAGCATATGCTATGTAATAAGCAGAATGCGTCGTCCCAATTTCATTTGCGTGCAGAAAATTAAATATGACTTCGGCATCAAAACAATTTTCAGCCTGCAGCATTTAATTATCAAACGACAAAGACTCAAAGTTCAAATATAGTAGTATACACAATGGAAAAGGAGATCCCACTCACATATTCCAACCACACTTTCAAATAACGAAGATCCTCCTTGTAGCGATCTGAATGCCAAAAATTCCGCACACATTGTTCATATATCAAAACAAGTCCAGAGAAATCACCCCCAGCTGGATATGCCTCTTGAACCCATTTAATACACCTTTGAAAAGTATGTATTGTTAGTAAATACCGGGAATTAGAATGCAAAGCTGGAAGGAGAGTGAGATGCAAGTTTCAATTAATTTAGCAAACCCAGAGGTTAGGAAATATGAGAGCAATGTATTGAAGAGGAATAAATTTTAGGCGAGTTTTTCAGTTCAAATGAAGATCTGAAGTTAAACAAGAAAAACAGGCAACTTACTCGAGCCATGGCTGCAGGGGATCGTCACCTTTGTAGTCGTCGATAGCCTCAATCAACTTCCTGAAAGAAGAATGAAGAAGAGATTAGGAAAGGGGCACTAGAATCATAGGCGCAAAAGAGAGATGGAAAAAAACCTTCGGTTATCAAGAAGGGATTTCTTGAGATGATTATCAGTATGGGACTTGAGGGCATTGTTCAAGATGCTGATATTGCGACCTCTCTTCAGAGGTCTGACGTTCTCTTTGAAGAGTTCCCAATCGTTCTCAGTTTTCCGCTTGGAGAAAAGGAATTCAGTTTCTGGGTCCAATTCCTGTATTGTAGCGTCTTCCATGACTATTGTTTCTCCTCCACCTCGCTGACGACGAACCAAATCGTGTTACTACGCTCCAAGGGTTTCAAATTTCAAATTTCAAAGTTCAACGGCCGATTTTCCCCGTTGTTTCAATCCAGGAATATAAATGGGGTGGGTGGGTGGGTGGGGTGGGCCGAAGACTAAGAGCCCGGCCCAAGACCCACTTGCTTTCGGGATAGGGTGGGTGGTCAAAAACTCAAAATACTATTACTTAATTCTGTTTCTGAGAAAGCGTTGAGGCGTCCGGTGATCATTGAAATTGAAGCAGCAACTGGAGTTCTAATAAAATGGCTGCCTCGTGGTCGTGGTCGTGGCCGATGCCACCTTCATCATCCACCTCTGTGAGACCGTGTAAGGGCCTTCAGGAGAAAATAGCGTATCTAGGGCTGAGCGTCGGCAGCAGAAAACAGGGGTATCAGCGGGAGAGAGCAATGACTGTGAGCATGTCAAAATACAAATACAAAGGAACGCGGATGAGAGAGAAGCTTCTGACAGAAATGATTGAGAAGAAGGTGATGGAAGCGAAGGAGGTTTGCAAGGGGGACGAGACCTCAGGCTCTGATGAGTGCAAGGTGGCCTGGGACCAGGTGGAGGAGGTTAGCCAAGCTAAGGCCCATCTCCTACGTAAACTACAGACTCAAGATCCCCTGGAGTATTTCTGTCGAGACAATCCTCAGCTTGACGAGTGTCAAATTTACGAGGAATGAGAGATCCGATCCCTATGTGTCTCGTCTTGTGTTCTGTTCGATATCAACTATCAACTATCAAATCCACTCTTTTTCTTTTCTTTTGTCAAAATCAATGCTGTATCTGTCCACATTTCCACTTTCTAGACCACAATATATATTATTTTCATATTATCCATATCCAGATACCGTATTGAATGAACCATAATCAAGCATGTTACAAGTTTTATACATAATTATAGCATCTTAATCACATAAAAACGAAGACAATCCCTTGAGTTAAAAAATACGTGCTCTTTATCAGTTAACAAATTTCAAATCAAAATGGAAACACCCAACTAACAACTACTCTACTCCTCTCCCGCTATCTTCATCAGCACCTTTGACATCGACTGCCAGACTAACAGCTACTCTACTCTCTCCCACTATCTTCGTCAGCATCTTTGACATCGACTGAGAAACTATACTCCTGGTCGCAGCCCAAGTATGAATCACACATGAAATAAAGGGTATACGATTTCTTTCCAGTGTCTGGAGGCGCAGTGAAATCAAGCTTGACCTTCGACTTCCTTTGAAGGGAAACCCTTTTAATCGCCAGTAGCTGGTTGCTCTTTGTATCGCCAACAACAAGCCACCAGCCTTCTTCTTTGGCTTTGGGATACCTCGGAGCATCCACAGGCCCAACCTCAGTCCTTCCATCAAGATCCCGCTCAAGTGCAACTTGAAGTGTTATGTTCTCCCCTGCTGCAACATTCTCACCATCCAGTACCTCGTATGCCAAATCAATATTTGGGAACCGATTGCAAAAACGT